CAACCAAAACTGTCTTATTAACTGTGATCACTACTTTCATCTATAACACATCCTTCCCTGCTGTGCTCCCATAGAAGCGTGTCTGTTGGATGCTTTGCCACCTTAAATTTAGTTTTTTCTAATTGTTTTGCTTGACCTGTGGGCCCACACCGAGGTCACTTAATCCACTTCCGGTCTCATACCACCTCAGGCCCAAGATTCACAGAAGATGCTCCTCTTCATAAACTGACAAGGCATTCCAGGAGTTGCCTGAGGTGCTCCCTCTTACCACTAGCCTTTTGCACCAGCAGCCTTGTGCTAACTCAGATAATGACCTGAATTTGCCTTGTTGCCACCTTCTCCCTAACAGATGTGTGTACTTCCTCCCTTAGTCACTAATTTATTAGCAGTAAAACTAAATGTAACTTTGTTCTCACAGAAAGAAAAATAAGATATGATCATTTGCTGGTGCAGCTCTTAAAAAGCTAGTCTTTGCATCCAGGCTGAGGTAATTCCTCCCTAAGAATTCAGGGAGGCTTTCTAGAAGTTTCCCTTTCCCTCCCTAATCAAGAATGGCTCCTTGGCAGCCTGCCACATTTCTCTGCCCCTTGCTAATATTCCGAGCACTGTGATTAGCTCTGGCCTGTCAGGGGGTGGGAGGACTGCCCCTTGCCCAAAGAGACTTAAATAGTTACCATTCACCCTTCGCTACCAAAGCCTTGAGAGACCAACATTAAATAAGGCAATTTGGGTGCAAAAATAATCTTCTTCCTGACTGTCAGCCACATTAGTCCTGTGCTCTGCTCTGATGCCGCTCGGATACCTTACTGGCATGACAGCAGCACAGATGTCTGCATCTCTTCATCCCACAATGCCAATGAATCTCTTCATCCCATAATGGCAATGAAGTTCAATAGGAAAATTCTTGTTTCTCTGCATAGCTGAAGGTTCTCTTCCCATTCCCTCCCCTAACCCTTATTTATCAGTGATCCTGCTTTATTTCCAGATCGATTGGCACTGACCCACTAGCTTTGCTATTAAAGGGGATGATTCCTACAGGCTGTATCTTTTGTCCAATGCCATTGCTATGAACCCCACACCTACAGTATCTAAACAAGTATATCCAACAATCCCCAAGTGATCAAGATGCAGCAACATTAGAGTCTGAATTACTTTTTCATGAAATTTTGTAGGAAACTCCATCCTTTGAGTGCTCCTCAGGCCAGAATCTAGCAAGTAGTCTCTGAAATAAGTATATATTATATTGCATTTATATCCTGCCTTTTTTTCTCCCATGAGGAAGTGAAGGCGACTTTTATAGCTCCATTTTATCCTCACAACAGCCACCCTGTGAGACGGGTTGGGCTGAGAGTGAGAGAATGGCTCATAGTTAGCCAGTGAGCTTCATGGCTGAGTGAAGAACAGAAACCAGATCCGCCCCAATGCTCTAGCCACCACACCTCACTGGCTCTTGATAAAATTCTGGAATTAACTGATGCTAGCATGTTATTAGCTAGAAAGGGGTTACTCTATTGTTTTAGACAACTGGGCATTTCTCAGAAATTAGGGACCCAAACGACACTCTGTTCATAATGTCATTAAGCAGTTGCCACAGTGTACATGAAACTACCTCATTTGCTTGGTGGCCCTGTCTGGAATGCTTTCCCATCTGGAGGTCTGCCAGGTTTCTTTGTTGTTGGATTTTAAGCATCTTTTAAAGACCTTTTTGTTCAAACCAGCTGTGATTTTCAATTTACTGCTTTTTAACATTTTATATTTACTGCATAGAAATTTATTAGATTCATATGCCATTTGGTATGTATTGCAATTTTTATTTGTTTTATACTGTTGATTATGAATACTGCTGCATATGATTCTAAAAATAGCAACATCAAAATAAAGACAGATACCTCCAAGTCCCATCTTGAAACTTAGCAGCCCTTAACGTATTGCACTCCAGCAGTGTACACAACATAAATTAGGTACCTCTGGTAGATCTTCCTGCAATCTGCAGATCAGCAAGACTATACCAACATTTTAAAGAGATTTCTGAAAGTAAGATATCATGAGGGATTTTTGATGGAAGAAAGTTTGGAGCTCAGATCTGATATTGAAAGCAAGCTCCCAGGCAGAGAACATGTGCTCAGGGGTACTATGATCTGAATTCTAAAGTATGCTCTCCCCTAACATGCTATTTTCACTTAACTCTTGTTTGCAGATCTCACAGATCCAGTTAAAAAATAATAATCCTAAAATCTTCCCACTGCTACTCGACCTTGTTACAGTGCTTCTTTTCTAGTTCCAGGGGAAGAAAATGCACTTGACAGTTCCATAGAAATGAACATCCTTCCCATCAACTAGATGCAACGAAAATGTGGCAATACTGACAACACTGAAGATTGCTGGCGGTGCAATGCTCTTCTGAAGAGCATGCTCTCTGGGATGCCTACTTTAAGTACCATCTTAGCATGGTTGTGTTGTTCTAATAAATAACATTCCTATGTTCATTGCATATAACATACTCTCTGCTTCATAATTTGCTATTAGCATCAGACATGGACGGAAAGCACCGTTGTCGTCATATTTTAGAATCTTGAACCTCCATCATCATGACATTTTTCCACTATGCTGACATTTGTACAATAGCACCTCAGTCCTGAAGAGATCTCATCCATTACCATTAGTACCATTTTACAAGGTGAGTGAAGAAGGCAGCATTTATGAAAAGTGTCTTTAAGTTTAATTTGCACAGTATCATTTTGTCATTTCTATCCTGTCTGATTTCAGTGTTGTAAGAGATGATTTTGGCAGTCAAGATGCTTCATTTTCTACAGAAAGGACACAGAAAATAAATGCTCAATTACCTACCTTTGCTCCATGAGGAAACCAATGGAGGTCAGTGTCAGGATAATGTAGCCAATTCTCATGAGTAGAGTTACCTGTGATAATGTCTGTTAAACCAACAAGCAGACAAATTACTCATTTAGGTTAACTCTCTGGAGGGATATTGTGTTCTACACTTGCCAGTGAGGCAGTCTGAACTTTCACTCTCAATTATATTACTTTGTTACTGTCTGCTTTTAGAGTAGTTTGATACTTTGAACTTTACAACTAAAAATTCACTGCAGATTCTCCATTCCCTCTTAATGTCATTATGTTTCAAGGCTGAAGGTTACAAAAATTGGATATTTTTCCCTAAATCATTCTTCACACAATGTAGGTCTTGAAAATAATTCTTTCACTGTTGTTATTGTTTCCTCTCTTGACATTATTTGAACCTTTGATGACCTGAACCAAAGGGGTAGACCTGTTTTCTAAATAAATATCATATCACATATCTTCTACCCCCACTCCTTTTAATGCCATTACATCTTTGTATTTTCCAGTAGTCTTCTCCAGAGAGTAGTGGCAACAGAAAATGTTATCCCATTAAAAGAAAGAGATACTAAAATATGGAAAAAGTAAAAAAAATACAGCAGTTTAATAATTTATCACACGTTTAATATGATCCCACATTTATCCTTTTTCTTCTTAGCAATTCAATATATTAACCTAGATTCACTGAAGCACCTGGAGTACTAAGAATAAGTATTGGATTCCAGTGGAACATTAGGTTAAACATATTCAGTTCAAGTCTGATACAAGGATTCTGGACTGGAATTCTCAACAGAGATTAAGCAAATGGGGAAAGATGACAGGATTACTGCTTGACTTACGGCTCCCATGTATACCAAGGGGCGTATTTTTCAGCCTTTTCTGGTAAGCTAGAAACAGCAGTGACAGCATTTAACAGCAAGTTTCAGCCAACAAAGAATTCTTTTGGAGATTCATCAATGCAGACAGACACTACAAAATCCCATCCTTCAAAATCTATTTCTCTCAAAGAGCAACACTGAACTCATTACTCTAACAGTTTCATGTATTTTTGATCAATTGTATTAATTAAAGAAAAGAATTATTCTATCTAATTTGTCAATCCATTTTCTCCCTTCTCCATAGTGCATCTCTTCTCTTTCTACCACAGGTCACAGGTCACCCTGAATATTATGTTATCCTTCTCTCCCTTTCTCTTTTTTTCTTTCTCTGCTCCTGAAAGCCCACATTCTTCTCTCTCTCTCCCCATACCCCCATTATTCTTTTTTCTTCTGTTCCATGTGACATGTTTCTCCACCATCATCTCTGATTCCTCTTTTTGTTAATCACAGGTGGTTTTCCTGAATCTCTATGTCATGCTGCAACACCCTCTTTCCTTTCTATTTCACTTTTGCCTTACAATCTCTTCCTTATTTTTACTTTCTATCTAGCCCTTTTCAGAGACTTCAGCAGAAAAACCACACAAGATTTTCAAACTACCAGAAATTCACAGGTGGAGAAATGTGAACAGTAAAATTATGTCTGATACCAGTGGGGCAGGCAAGTAAGTGATTGCTGCAACAGTCTGGATGCTGCAGAGGTGTAACTCTACCATGCACCTCTAAATCCATGGAGGAGAGGGTGAAAGCTGCACTGATGTGAACCTCTTCCTTCCTTTTGATAGCTAAGGGTGTGCCTTAGCTGTTCTCACAATGAGCATTTGAACTGACCCTTGCAGGCTGTAAAGAATCAGGAAAGGGACTACAATTGCCTTATGGGCTTTGTGTTGTGTAGGCCAGCCCTAAAGCTTGCTGGGGAAATCATTTTAAATACATAGGATACTTTCTACATGACTTCAATAAAACTGCAGGCATATGATACTTTGAAAATCCCTAACATCTAGTTTGGTATGTTGTGGATGCTGTCACAACATATAGCAGTATGGAATGTAGGTCAAAATAAACAAGTCAGGGTACAATCCAATAGGCTGTCTCTAACCATCCAAACTTGGAGGACTGCACTCATCCCATGCAGGGCAGGAGGGCTGTGAAGGCAAAGCTCACTGCCCTGTTCTTCTACCCTAGAGTTCAGCTAAATGGCTAAGTTTGGCCCCAAGCTGTGGCACCTCAGATGGGAAGGATGCAGACGCACTGTCAATGTAAGTTATATCATGGCAGATCCAGTCTCCTGCTGGAACATCCTTTTCATCACTTTTCCAAGGATGCTCCTCTTATGACCACAGAGATGCAGCCAGCACCACTGATTCTGTGCTCATTGATGGGGGAGACCAAACAGAACCAGTTCTGAGGTCAGACTTTTCTGACCTCAGAACTGAAAGTCCAAAAAACATCCTGTTGCTCTTTAGACACCACCAAGTCAAAATCCATGAGAATCTTTAAGCATTTCTGTAGTTGCAAAAGCAGGAAAACAGAAAAGATGGGGCTGACTATTTTAACAGATCATTTAGTATAAATGACCATACTGGCCATTTATACTAAACAACAAACACAAGCTTCCACCATATCTTCTTTCCTCTACAGCTTCTAGCAAGCTTATTCCAATACCATTAGATGTGCTATTGACAGCAGAGAGAATCAGGGGAAAAAATCAGGGATTTTCACTTTTGCAAGAGGACTTTGAAAAATCACAGGAACTACTTTTTACTTCTATTCTGTCACCTGTAAAGTTACTGTAAAGTGAAGAAGATGAGGATAAAAGATAATGAAAGGAATAATTTTTGAGAATGCTTAAAGGAAGAAAAGCACTGACTTATTCTATGCTTTGACTCAAAAATTTAAATGATTTAAGGTATAATCATATGTATATTTAGACAGAAAAAAGGTCTATGGCACCCAATATATTCCAGCCACTCATGCCAGGGCATGCCAGAAGTTATAGTCTAATGTCTTCTTTGTCCCTAAATATGCATAAGATTCCACCCTTGTTTTCTGTTTGTTTGTTTGTTTAAATCATCAGCACTATAAACTTTGGCAGAGGAGCACTTCATCCTAGGCTTCCTATTGCTACCATCCTAAACTTCTTGACATGTATTTTTTAGTTCAGGCTATAGAGCTTGAGAACAGAAGAGGAGGCATGAAACTGAGTTTGAGCTCAGCATAATTTACCCTGAGAGAACATCACAGTTTAGACCCTTCTGATGCTCTGAGCTCTACTCCCACAATCCTTGACCACTGGCCATGTTGACTGGGGCTGGGGAAAGCTGTAGTCTGAAACATCTGGAGGGGTCCAGGTTGCTTACCCTGGCCCACACAGAGGCCACTTCTCCTCAAAGGCTTTTGCGGGAAAGATTCGGTTGGACAGAATCCCTAGATTTAATAGCAGCATGAACTCCTTTTGTCTGTGTTTGGAGAACTCATCAAAACAGAAGATCCAGGCCATTTATGCGTGGGTTTTGTGTTACTGAAGAGCCACAAACCACCTCCAGGGATTTTTAACCAAAACTTTTAACTCCTACTAAACTAAGAAAACAGATTGACTGCCCTTAACCCCACCCTGCCAAAACACAATCTAACTAGTTTACAAGCCACTGTGTGTATCTTGCCAGCACTAATGATCAAACCACAAATTTACTTTCCTGCTTGAGATAAACAGACGCACCCTTCCCACACACACACACACCTTAACTTTAGAGGACTTTTCAACAGATTTAACTTCAGATTGGTCATTAGGTGAGCCTTCCAATAACAAAAATGAAACAGAAGATTAAAAAGGTTTGGGTATATTGTTTAGCCTGTTTTGGGAACAATACTGAGTGCCTTTTTCAGTGCATTGCTAATGGAATTTTAATATTTCTTCATAATTATAGTGCTTTTACATATAGTTTTCATTGCATTAAGCTACCTTAAGGGCTTATCAGGTGGAAGGGAAGGGTAAGACAGGGAAAAAAGTTGGAACAGTTATTGATCTGTTTTAAACTTAGAATGAAAGAACACTGTGTTGAAACAGCACCAGCAGCACGTTCATTTAATTCTTGTCTTGCCTCTTTTTTCCTTAATACTTATATAATGTTCCTCATCTAAGAATGATGTGTGCAGCTGATAGCTTTGGAATGAAGTGTAAGAACTGGCTCTTGCTATCAGCAGATTCTGATTCCAGCCAAACAATTTCAAAGCCAAAATGATTACCTTCCCCCATCTAAAACTGCAATCTTGTGGCTACTAAAATTTATATAATTCCCATTTAACTGAATGACTGACTTGGACCTGCAACATAAGCATCGTGTCCTGAATTAAACAGTAAGCAACTGGATTCAGGTATAAAGCAGGCTATCTGAAGATGCCTGAGAGAAAATCCTGGAGCTTCCTTAGTGCAGTGGAATAACAACCAATATGCACTTTTCTTTTTCACCATATTTACGCCATTCACAAACTAACACCCAATGATCTTGTTTAGATATGGAGCCATGCAGGCATGTGTGCAAGCACAGTAGATAAGCAGCATTTTTATCTGAGCACGGTATAGCACAGTGACTCATCAAACAATTTTATTTGTGGACTAATATCTTCCAATACTGGAGCATGTGGTACTGCACATGTGTGTCTGTATTCATAGTGCAGATCTGGAAAACCAGAATCCCCTCCTCAGCCAAGTACATAAAACCAGAGAGACCTGCCATAGAGATGAAGAAGAAGGTCCCTGTTTAGAAGTTGAGATGGGGAGCAAAATCATGTCCACATGCCTCCCTGGGATATGACCTGTTATGACCTATTCTTCTTTGGCTGTGCGAAAGGTCCTCAGGAGTACAGAGAGTAAGTTTCCAGGTACTGCTCTGTGTACTTGTGAAGAGAACACAGCAGCATTCAGGGCTCACTCCTATGACCTCCCAAATGTTGCCTGCAGGACAGCATAGTGCTCATCAGAGTCCCAGAACTAAGGAAAGAACCACACCAGCTGTGAGAGTGGAAATAACATCAGAGAAAGGGAAAGGGAGTGTGCTGGGGAGTGAGACAAACTAGCATCATCTACCAGCCTCCTTTCCTCTTCCTTCCTGGCACTTTACCTAGACAGCTGAAAATGACTGTCTTGATAAAATACTCAGAGTGAGAGGAATGGTGGCAGTGGGGATTGCTGACACTGTGCCTCACTGTAGCCACTGGACGTAGCCAAGCCTCTGAGTTCGGAAGCTTATGGACACCGAGGATGGGAGCCAACAGGACTGAATCCTAAACTGGATAACCTGGAACAATCCTGCTTAACACAGAGACTTATTAAATTAAAAAGCAGTGCAACCTTTTTAGCAGCATGCACACACTTGATTCCTAGGAGTTGTTGTTTAGTTGCAAAGTCGTGCCCAACCCATTACAATTCCATGGACAACTGTCCTCCACCATCCCCTGGAGCCCACACCAACCAGCCCAGTGACTCCATCTAGCCACCTCAACCTCTGCCATCCCTTCTCCTTTTGCTATCAATCGTTCCCAGCATCACGGTCTTCTCCAGTGAGTTGTTCCTTCTAAAACAGTGAGTCTGTACACGTGGCTACTGCAGATGTTCTTTTAGAGATGTTCTTGCAGATGTTCTTTGACCACATATACATGCATATTATATCACATGCCTAACAACCACATTTATATGATTGTTTTACATTGGTGTGCTTAATGATTTTATGAACTGTAGATACATCATCTTGTCTGATGCTATGTTTTGCACCATGCTTAAACCCAAACAATATTTCATTTATCTGTGCATGTATGCATATGTCCCACAATCTGAAAATCTTCACTATATACTAGCCCTTTTCTATGTAAGTGGGGAACAGCTCTTAACCCTGATCAGCAAGTGATCCCGGCACAGGGAGGGAACCAGGGAAAGGGGCTATGGGACCAGAAGAGGTAGCCCTGTGAAACTGAACAAGTTTATCTTTCCCACCCCAGACTATGAGTTAGGAGCAACTGAAATAAGCTGTAGGTTTCTAGTTCACATATGAATAGAAATGTAAAATTGATCTATTTGTTATTCATATAAATATAGTCCTGTTCATTAGCTATTTGGGTACTACATTTTCTATTTACAATTCTTATCATAGCAGAAAGATACTGCTTTTTTATTCTACATTTATATTTGAAATGTGTGAAGTACAAAATGGACCTTAGCAACTGAAGCACTGATAAATGGAGAAGAGAAGAGAAGAGAAGAGAAGAGAAGAGAAAGGGTAATCATCTTTGATCACTAAGCTATATGTTACACATTAAATGTAAGGTTTGTAAGCTGCGGTGGAAAAGGAATGTGACTGCTACATTTGCGTATCAGTGTAATCCTCCTCTTTCCAATCTAAACATTATAGACATGAAACATGAACAAATAAAATAAATGAGAATTTATATACTGCTGTATTTGTATAAACAAAAAAGCCTCTGGAACCACAGCAGGCGCTTCAATTATGAGTTAGCCACCACAACTTTTGCAATGTAGTTATTGGCAACCAAACAAAAAATAATATTTCTATTGTAGTCTGACTTGACTACATCTTAAAGCAAGCAACACTGGAGGCAAATGTGTATTTTTGATAATAGTAGGTATGGCAGAATTTTAAAAACAACATTATTGAAGTCAGATAAGTAATCCATTCAAATATGTGTACAAGACTCCAAACTGCTTCGCAAATATTACCATTAGGAATAGCCAAATTTGACATTTTTGCTTGTTCCCACATTTGGTCTATATAACAATAATTTCAAATTCTTTCCATCCTGATTATGAAGAATTTGAAAATTTTGGTAGATTCTTATCAATGTTCAACTGCTCTGAAGTTCTCACGAATCTGTGCTGGCTAAATTCAATAGGTATTTACCCCCAGGGACCAACTAGCAGGGTCCCAACTCCTGTGTGTCAGGTCCTCTCTGGTCACAAAGAAAGGGCGTCTCAGAGAAGGATGGCATCATTCTGAGGAAGAGGGAAATGATCCCTTAGAAGGGACTCATTCTTTGGCGAGTATGTATCCTTCTACACAGAGGATACTGCTATGGAGGGTGGGGGCTTCTGGTAGTGGGAGATTTGATCACTAGCAACATAGAAAGCTGGGTTTGCAATAGACCTGCAGACCACATGGTGAATTGCCCAGTGTGAAGTTGGAGATATCGCACACCATTCAGATAGCCTTGTTGACAGCACAGGGGTGGAGTCAGTGGCTGTGGTCCATGTTGGCACCAATGACATGAGGAAATGTAGCCATGAGTTCCTGGAATCGAAATTTAGGTTACTAGCTTGAAATCCAGGATCACCAAGGTGGCTTTCTCTGAAATGCTATCGATTCACATGCAGGGCCTGCTAAACGGGCACTACTGAGCAGTCTCAATGTGTGGATGAGATGGTGGTGTGGTGACGAGAAGTTCACATGTAATTGGAAATGTAACTATTTTGGGACAAACCAGGGCTATACCGGTTGGACAGGCTCTACTTGGACCAGAATGGAAGCAGACTGCTGGTCCTGCATGTGGCAAAACATTATAAAGGGGGCAGAGCAGCCTCTAAACTGCACCCTGCGAGCTGGGAACCATCCCGTTTGGGTGAAGTAAGCCCTTATGCATGAAGGGGATGAAGTTTCAGATGGCCCAAGAAGGGGACGAAGTAGGTAACAAGATTATGGTAAGCTGTGTTGGAGAGAACAAAGTGCCAGAACAAGAGTTGCAAACAGCTGGAGGGGGACTTCAGTGTTTCTATGCAAATGCTAGAAGCCAAAATGTGAAATCCGAACTACCTGGTAATAAGGAGAAGCTAAATATAGAGGGCATTACAGTGGGCATTATCCTAATAACTGCATACACTTTCAGGCTAACCTACTGATATTTAGTACTGCATCAAGTAAATAAACTGAAGGTAGAGAAATGAGTTTATAAAATGGCAATACTGGCCAGATTGAATCTTAAAGTATAGAACTGGATCTGAAGTGAAATTATAATGGTAATCCGTTGTATCAGTTTCTTATAGCAAAGAAAGTTTCTTATATCCTGCTGAACCCTGTTGAAAACCAATAAAGTTCTAAGCCTATTAATGACAGCGTTACTGCTTCTTATCTCTTCCGAGCCAAGCATTCCATGAGAATCTTAATGCCCAGAAAGAACCTTATTTTGGTTATGCGTAGGAGACCAAAGATAGAGTGACCATAATAACTTGAGAATTATAGCACTGCGCATGGCCTCAAGTGCATGTGGTGGAACTTATGTCTAAAAATGAGGAAAACAGTTGTGTCTATTTATGGACCAATGCCACATTTGTGACATAGCCAAGTAAAATGGTTCCAGTTGTGTCTATGGGCATTTCATAATCCAGTGTAGTGGAAAATTGATATTAAAGTTATATGCCAAGTTATATTATTCACATACATGCTTTCGTCTTATGATAGTTCCTTCTGGATTTTTAGAGCACTCCTGGAACACTGCCTTTTCTCTAGTTCTGCTTTCTTCTATCATTCCTAGGATCTGAATCCTGAAATGTGGACTTTTAAGCAATCTTTCCATTCTCCTGTAATACTAGCCTTTGAACGATTATTCCTTTTCTTTGTAGAGCTCATTGGCTCTATATTTTCCAATTGGAATTCTTAATGATGATATACACAATGACTCTCTTGTGGGGTGCTGGGATGGAAGCACATTTTAGAAACATAGTACTGATGGTCTTGTACTTACTTACTCAGCTATTATGAAATCTAATCTGTTTACACTTGTTAAGGAATGCACAAAAGACTAAACCAGGAGATGAACAATTTTCAGGAGCAACTAACACATAATAGTGAAAATTCTATTGCTCTGTTAAAATTATTCACGTTAGGAAGTTTTAAATTCTCCCTGTTCCTCCAACTAAGTTACTGCAAAAACAACAAGCTCAACAGTTTGCACATCAGATTTTAACATCAACTGACATTTGCATTAGGCATTTTTCAGCAACACAATGCAGCAAATTTAAGGAAGGGTTAACGTTACTTACAGATTTGGAAGCAAACAAGTCAATATAGAATCCCGCCATTAAGATGAAATGAATGACCGTATAGACAGAAAGGTAGTTTGGCAATTTGTTTCTGAAGGGAACTTCTTTTCCAGTGATCTACATTCAATAAAACAGATAAGCGAATTTATCCCATTACTAATTTGATTCTTATTTCCAGTACTTAAAATGTATTGTTATACACATTCTATTGATGGTTCCTTTTAAACAGTTGTTTCATCACTGAGACCTTTCATCTATATAACTAATTTAAGGAGATACAATATATGAATAAGTACTCCATTACATTCCACTTCCCAGACCCCCACCCCACCCTTTCATTCCTTTGTACATGTTGTTTTGTTTCCAGAGAATATAATTTCATTTCCACAGAATTTCAAGCTCCTACATAATAGATGTGTTGCCTCCATACAATGGGGCCCAATGTACCTGGAAAGCTACTGTATATACCATGGGTCCTCAAACTACGGCCAGGGGGCCGGATCTGGCCCGCCATGCCCATTTGGACCCACTGTGCACATGCCCATGCATGCGCCCACCACCACCCACCTTGCCCCGCGCATGGCATGGTTTGCTCGCTCGGAGAAAACAATCTCCGAGCGAGCAAGCCGCTGCCTTATGTGCCCGCCTCACGGCGCATGCCTCCCCTGCCTCCCCTTGCCTCCCCTCGCTGCGCATGCCTGCCCCTGCCTGAGTGCAACCACGTGCCGCCCCTGCCCCCTCGTTGGCTCGCACACACCACTGGCACCACCTTTCTGGCCTGCGCCCAGTACCAGCAACTGGCCCCCTGGTGAAAAAGTTTGAGGACCCCTGATCTATACAATCCTATCAAAAATCACACTAAGAACACACCTGAAACCAAAATCTTCCATACATTTATTCTGCCTTCCCCAGATTTCAGCTATTTGATATTTAGGCAACAAGGACCCTTGAAATAAGTTCCAGTGTAATCAGTAGGGTTTAATTTACAGTAAATATATTTAGGGCTAAAATGTGAATCAATTTAGGGAACCAAATTGTATTGGTAAACCCAAGTAAATTTTTTGATCTATCCTACAAAATTTTACTCAAAAATAAATCTCATTAAGCTTGCTGTGAAGTAACCATGTACAGGATGATGTATTTACAGAACAAAACTTTGAGGACTAAGACATTGGATAAAAATTAAAGCCACATTATACATACCTCTGGGATATCCTCAAGAAGGCCAAGTCTTGGCTTGCCAGGCCCCCATCCTGGTCCTTTGAACACGACAGAAACTTTATTGAAGAATCCAGGTGTATTCCAAAATGTTTTCCATATATAAATTAAATGATGAAACTAGAAAGAGGGAACAATCACAGTGTTTACATTGTCAACATTCAAGGGTTGAAAATACAATGACCAAAAAGAGTTTTTCAAATTTAAACATTTAGAAAGCATTATTATGGAAAGGAAGGAATGTGGAGAAGCAGCACACTGCTTTGCTTCTATCTAACTTTGGATACAAGAATAAACAGATTAATGCATGAGTTTGCATGCTCCTCACTTTTCTTTGCTCTTCTAGCAGGGACATGAAACTGTTGCTTGTTTTCAACTAAGTTTCTCATTTGAAATAAACCCTGTGGTCAGCATTATGTGTTCGGGAAATAAACTAGGATCTTAAATGATAATTTAATGTTGGTTAATTCCCTTAACACTAACCAATACTTCTGGGTCTAAGTGTAATGAGTAAATATGCCTACTTGAAATGAGAAAAGAAAGCTTCCAGTGGCCAGGATGAGATGGGAAAGAGCAATCAAATCCTGAAACTTGTCCATGTGATACCAAACCATAGTTTAGCATTAACATTTACTGTTAGTTGTGAAGTAATCAAGTTCAAAACTTCAAACCAAAGGCCTTTCAATAAAAAAAGCAATAAGAACAATGAGTCCTACATATAAAGCTGGTCCTCATTTCCATAAAGAGGAACATGCAAAGGAGTGATTAGACAAATATTACAGCACTTCTACATTTTATTTTTTATGTGAACTAGTTTTATCGATGATCAAATATGGTCAAAACAATTTTGATGCCTAAGAGAAAAGAGGAATGGTGCTTTTACCTCACTGCCTAATTCCATGTAGAAAATCTGACCAGACTGGCAGGTAAATCTTAATGGAACACCAGCCAAATGAACTTTCCCAAGGGGGACACAGGATAAGTTGCATGGCACATACACAGCTTGCTCCTTTCTGAACATCTTACCATGTGCTACCTGAGAAAGTCACCTCACTGCCTAATGTTATATATAGCCCTGTTTTTAATTTATGATTATAATCTAACTTATTTATTTATTTATTTATTTATTTATTAAAACATTTCTATGCCACCCCATTCGCCGAAGCCTCAGGGCGGCTCACAACATAAAATTAAAATATAATACATACAACAAATTAACAATATAAAATAAGTCGCCCTGGCCAGATAAAATAAGCAAATAATATTAACAATTAAAATGACGTTTAAATAAAAAGGTCTTTGCCTGGCGCCGAAAAACAAATAACGACGGCGCCAGGCGGACCTCTCTGGGGAGCGCATTCCATAACTTAGGCGCCACCGCTGAGAAAGCCCTCCTCCGAGTAACCACCCTCCTAATTTCCTTCACTGAGGGCTCCCGGAGAAGGGCCTCTCCTGCAGATCTCAAGGGGCGGGCGGGCATATACAGATGTAAGCGCTCCTTCAGGTAACCAGGACCCAAGCCGTTTAGGGCTTTATAGGTAATCACCAACACCTTGAATTGAACTTATGAAAACTAATGAAATCTAAATCAGGGGTCCTCAAACTTTTTCAACAGGGCACCAGGTGAAAGGCGGTGGCAGTAAGCATGGGCCAGTGAGGCGGCGCTGGCAGTGGGCAGGTGCACGCACAGCAAGGCAGGGGCTTGCTCGCTCGGAGATCGTTTTCTCCAAGTGCGTCCAAAACAATCTCCAAGCAAGTGAGTTGGTAGTGCGCGAGTGCGTGGCCAGGCAGGCGCAGGGAGTCCAAATCTCTGAGGCAGGCTGGATCCCGTCCGCGCGCCATAGTTTGAGGACCCATGATTTAAATGAACATCCACTGTGGTGCTGAAAAGCATTCCACTTGTGAAATCTGTATCATCTAAAGAGAGGCCTATCAGAGCCAAGCTGTTGGTCACAGAAGAGCACTGTCAACAAAGGATGCTTGAATATGCACTTAGACTGCCAAAACCATGAGGAGGAGTTGGTACGTTCTGTACCCGCTGAAGATACCTGTGCTCATATTCTGTTTGGGTACATATGGTGGGCTCTTACAGTTAAAATTACTGCACATTTTACCCGCGTTCCACATGAGTAAGAAATTGTTTAATGTATTAGTAAGGACTTCATTTATCACAGAAATATGTTCATGACCATTCAGACAGAATGTGCAAGATTGGTTATGAGATAATTTTCAGAAAACTGGAAGGTTAATTTATAACTATGGCATGAAAAGTTTTCCTGTGATCAGGTCTTTGATATTACATGTTATTGAAAGCGTGTGACTCCATAGAAAGGTAGTTTGTTCTACTGAGAAAACAAACAATACTTGAGACTCAACAATATTTTTTTAGAGAATTAGCTTAATTCTTATTTTTGGAAAAGAACCAAAAACAGCTTAATGAAAACAACATAAGCAATAAGCAAAACAGTGTAATTGAATTCACTATAGCAATGTTTGTATTAAAATATGCAAATAGTTTAGCAAACCAAAATGGAAAGTACCACCTGGATTTTGAAAGGCTCAAAGGTGTTGATTGGATGTGTTAAGCCATACTTGATTTTATCTTTTTCTGCAACAAATGTCCCTGCAGAGAAGGAAAAAAAATACTTTTTGTATAATTTACTTTAGTGAAATAACTAAACTAACTTCATTATTAGCTTTACTTACCAAACATTCTGTCCCAGATAATCAGTGTGCCACCATAGTTTTTATCAATGCAGTATGGATTTCTGCCTATAGGAAAAAAGTTTAAGCCAAGTTTGTCACTGTGTCCAAATAATATATCTGGGTCAGACTTAGGTTAGTTACACTTAGGTTCCACTGAAATCAAAGTAAGAAGTTACTCCTTTTGAATATGAGAAAAACAATTCCTTTTGTAGATACACTAAAGAATATTAAAGAATAGATGATACAAATGTATATTTGTAAGATCTAATTTTGCTTACCATGATGTACTCTGTGATGGCTTGGAGTGTTAAGAATAAATTCCAATGGGCCAAGATTGTTAATTACCTTGAAAAAAACAAAAGCAATTATAATATAGTTAATAACTATGGTCTTGGGCTGAAGGAAAGCAAAATATGTAAAGCAGCATCAGCAATATGAAAAATTTGGAGGAAAGGAATAAACCTTGAATATCTGCTGATCCTGAAAAGAATTTTCATAAGTAAAGATGGCTGGATACTATTATGTATAATATTAATTCAGAAAACTCTTGCTGTATTTACGATATCACCTTTGCAATATTGTTTCCACCCTGGGCTTTCATCCACCTCTTCCAAGTCCAGTGCAGCATCTTCAAGGGATTAATTCATGTGGGAAACTATTTCTTTTGTTAGGTGTTAGGGGAAAAAAAACTTAAAATACAAGACATTAGGCCACAGGAACTAATAAACACTTTTATTTACACACTGACAAACAGAAGGTAAGAGTGCAAATAAGATACAATAAAACAGAAAACAAACCTACAAGCTGTTGGCTGTGCTAAACAGCACCTTTGCAATTTATACCACAAACTTATTGTAGGAAGGTTCAGAACTTTCACCTTATTCTACAGACGTAAAGATGGGGCCCATTTCTTTTGAAACACAGTATTCCTAGTTAGAAAGCTCGGATTTGGGAGTGTGAACTAGAGAGAGGTTAGATGGTGGCACAGAAATGACAAGGTTAATAAGAGAAATTTGTTTGACAGCTACTGAGAATCAAACCATTTTGGGGGAGCGACTTTACTAAAAGGAGAGGTCTGAGGAGAAAGGGTATGGATTTTGTAACCCAATGAGCACACATCAGGCAAAATGAGAGGTCCAATTAAGTACCGTGTGGCATTCCCACTGTCTGGCCACAAGCAATCCAAACTTCCCTAAGGGTGGAGTCATGCCTTTTAGGAAAGTAAAGGAAGAATGACTCTTCAGTTTGGAATTAACTCTTCACATGTGCAAGAACTGCTCTCACAAACTGAAGGGAATATTACTTTGGTACTACTTGAAAACAACCTTCTTATGAAACACCCTGTATCACAAAACCACTGTCTTTCTTGAACAAAGAATTTCAAATATACTTCTGCTGGAAAGGGAAAAGGGGAGATGTGCTCAGGGCAATAGGGACTGATCTCTGGTCCAGAGCATTAAGTGATCCAAAGGACCTGGTCTCCTGACAAAGGCTTCAAAACATCCTTAGAGGTTAGCTGCCAAGAGCAACTAGTTCTTCAAACATACTCAGCTCACACACCTGTTCTTTAGCAATGATAGAGGATGAGGATGTACAAAGGGAGTACCTGGCCCCAAACATACAAGTTACAATCTCTTAAAGGGATAGCATCAAATATTAGGCATCAACCTTGTGCCCTAATCTTCTCATATTTCACTTTTTATCTTACCTCCTTAAGGTGCTCTGGAAAATATGCATTTAATTCACTTCCATTTTATTTCACAGCATTCTAGTGAAATGGATCCACCAGGGGACTAGGAGACTATGACTGACCCAAGAGCATCCATTAAGCATCACAGCTGACTGGGGAGCCTATCTTCCAGCAATCCAATTCACTGACCTTTACACTAGTATCATACAATTTCACATTCAGTACTGCCACTTCCAAACCGAAAAGCAAGAAATGCATCCTAGAAGATGCAAAGAATGCAAAGAAGATATTCTTGCAAAAAAAGTTTCTATGTGAAAAGAAAAGAACAGGATTTTATGCAGTCGTTTATGAATGTCACCTATTAAATCTCTAAAAGATGCTTCAATGCAGTTGCAGGGAATACACTTACTTATTGTTCTTATCCCCCTTCCCCCTGCCCCAAATGAAGAGGCTATAAATACTTTATAGGTGTGTTTGCTCATTGTATAGGACTGCTGTGTAGGCCAAATTGGGGAATGAAGACACATATGTGTACGCACTAATTTTTCCAGAGAAATCTCAGTAGCATTCACATTATGTCTCTTTTACTAATAATCTTATTTATATAGGGCATGTTTATATAATAAGTCCCTAAAAAGTCTGACAAAAGTAGACTGAGTGTATTTATTTTATTCTCATTATCCAAAAGCCAAAGACAACACAACTATTCACATTAGAATTTCCCTAATCTGCCAGCAAAGATCTTGAACCACAAAACGGCCACCTAAGAGTGAGAAAAAGTTCATATTTCACATTAGCTCAGCTTCTATCATCTATCAAGGAAAAGAGTCCCACTGCTTTTAAGCTATGTGAAATGTGATGGCTAAATTAGTTTAGGCTGTAATCCTATATCCGCTTACATAGGAGTAGGCCTCACTGAAATCAACAGGACCTGCTTCTGAGTAAACATATATAGGCAAGTGCTCTTAATAAAGTAAAGGACTCTCCTTGAACCATAGCCCAAAGCCTGAAATATCAGTAGTTTATCTAAAAGTCCACACCTAACTCTGACCCACTATGTTCTGTTTTGCTTTCAAAATAAATATTTTAATAGTTTTGTAAAAATATACCTTATTTAAGTTCCCAACATGAAGATTACGATAGACCAAATTATACATTTTGGCTTGGCTTAAAAGTGGGCTAGAACTGAATATTTTGATCAAACTAAAAGCATTTTAAAGTTTTCTTTTTTCTCACCCCTGCTAATGACATTGCTTACAATATTAATCCTTTGAAGGGTTTCATATTATGCTCTGGCCTAAATCCAGACATGCTCAACATAGCAGTGGGTTGTGGTTCACCAGTGAACAGAATTCTGAGGCTGCCAGCCCTGACTACCTCCTGGAGGAGGAGGAAGGTAAATCTGGAATCAGTCACACCCACACAGGTCAAAGATTGTCAGAACTGGTGGTGCCGCCTATCTGCCTGGCAATGCTCTCTCACATCCTTGCTGGATATGCACCATTCTTCCTCCACAGCACCCTTTTCCATGTGCAGGACAGCATCCACATGCAAAACTTGTCTTCAGTGGTCCCAAGGTCATAATGTGCTCAACATTCCTTGGGTATCACAGAAACAGACTATAAATAAAATTTTAGTGCCAAAATCATGTGACACCAACATGGCAAAACAGCAATGACCCACTTACTAAGTTGAACAAGCTTACAGAATATATATATTCCAATGAATATTGCTTCAAAATGAGATCTTCCAAAACATACATCAATAACCATGTATGTTTATATAATTGGTATAAGTCTGTCTTAATCAAGAATATGTCAAAAGCAAGAGAGATACATCATATAAGTGGGAGGCTGGCAGAAGCTCCATTTCACCACCAGAAATATGAAACCTGTTTTATAAAGGTTGCTTTCTTTGCAACAGCAAAGAAAACTCTGGTGGGAATTGTGGGACGTACACTACAATCTCTCTTACATGCATGCACCTCTGTTGGTGGTCTCAGTTGCACCACTGGAAATCTTTATTGCTTGGTATCTGCAACCTTTGAAACAGTTGTTATTTGAGTACAATGAAAAGGTTGTGATGTGAAATCCAAGGGGAACTTTACGTCTTGTTCAACAACTTTTTGTATCACCATTACAATATGAATTTTATTTAGCTGTTTTGTAATAAAAACACAGTAGAAAATCAGCAAACCAATAAGGCACCTATTTGTCTGCATACGTGTGCGCATGGAGAATAAATAAGGCTTTCCTAATGTAAATCTGAGAACAGCTAAGGAATCCTTCTTATGTTATCACTAACTGTGCAGGAATCTCTGCTGCATACCTGTTTCTTGTTCCACTTGGATAACGGACCACATAGGAGGAGCTCATGTTGCAACTCTTATACTTTATGATATGACTGGGCTTAAATAGTATAGTGACATTCCAATGATCAAGATATAAACAAACAGGAAGATGCTGTATAGCTGCAAAAAGTACAGAAAAGGGAAACTAAAATGACCAAAGGGCTAGTAAAAACTCCTTTACGAGACAAGGTTTGTTTGTTTGTTTATTTAATTTTTTTCTATGCCATCCATTACTGAAAAAGTCTCTGGATTGCTTACAAGGAACAAAAAGCCAAGAAGAAAAACATAACAACAATATACAGCACACTGCAACTAAAATAGTTTTAAAAAATGATAAAACCAATTAATTGTTAAAATACCAGGAAAATTAAAAAAAATAACAAAAGATGGAACTGTTTAACTTAGAAGAAAGATGAGGAAGGGACTTGTGAGAGAGTTGTACAAAATTATGCAAGGTGTGGAGAAAAAGTATGAGGCAATGTTTTTCTTCCCCTTTCATAATACTAGAACCCAGCCTTATCCCATCACCCTGACTGGCAGCAGATGCAGAACAGATAAAACAAAGTACTTCATCCAGCACTATGGAATTCACTTTCACAAGATGTAGTGGTGGCCAAACATCTGGAAAGCTTTAAAGGGGGACTGGACACATTCATGGGGGAAAAGGTTCTCAGTGGCTACTATGCTGGCTGTCTTCTGCCTCCAGGACCACTGTGTCTATTTATACTAGCTCTCAGTGGCCTTTCTTACACTCATCTCCTGTTTGTGCATTTCCCATGGTCAGCTGGTTGGCCACTGTGTGAAAAGAATGAACTAGATGGACTCTTGCATCATGGCTGTTACACCAAAGGAATAATTATATGACACCTAGACAACATCTGCCTTCAGGACAGTTCAGTTCCCAGCTCTGCAGTCAGAGACAACACTCTGATCCTGGATCTGGGAGAGAGTTCCAGTGCCTACCCTTGACACTCTCACAGCTGGTGCAGAAATAAGCTCACCATCTGCTCCCCAAAGCTAGAAGCAGAGCTGGGTCAAAGGGGATTATTTCAGGAGGGAATGTATGCTGAACCTTCCCTTTTCCATCCTTCCACCTTCCCCAAAAACTGCCGTCTAGTGAACATGCAAAGCACAAGGAGAGGAGCAGGGAGGCGAAGCTCATTCCTACTGCTTCTTGTGTTTTGCACTGAATGAGAGTGAGCCTCTGCACTTAGAGACTCATGGGCATCTCATTGTTTCCTAAAAGATACGAAGTAATATTGATGTAATCAGTAAACTTATAGCAGTTGTATCTGATAGACACAC